TTAAAGTGTATAAATAAGTTACCCAATCAGACGACTTTCTTCCTTTGACTGTTTTGGCCGGCCAAAGGCCAAAAAAATTGGCATTGCTGGATCCCTTGTATAATTTATAGCGATAGTTATTAACGCCAACTTCAACTACCCGGGTAATTTATACACTTTAACATAATACTGAACACTAACGCCAATTTTTAACATCAGTTGCGTGATGTACAAAATAACTTATACAAGTGATTACGTAGTTATTATTTAAATTTTTTTTTTTCATACAATAAAAATATAATGTTTTTATACTATATTTTGTTTCACAAAAAAAGTTACATATTTTATAATGAAATAAAAAAACCAAAAGTCTATAAACAAAAGAATTATTCCTCCGCACCAAAAATCCTAAGTACAAATTAAGAATTGTTTATTCTTCATTTGGCAAGAATCCAGAGCGTTCCCATTTTCCTTCAGGGCAAACAAGTAATATACCAAAATCGCTAACCCCATTGCCCATATCCAAAGTTTTTGCCGATGCTGGTTCATTGGTGAATGATTATTGGTGGTTGTTGATGTTATTGGTTGAACATATATATTGAGAAAAAAATATACATAAAAAATTTGTTCGTTAATCATCCTTGTCTAGCTTATTGAAGATTTTTATGAAAGATGCATAACGTTTTTGATCTAAGAGGAAATAATATTGTATAAAATGGGTATATAATGATAATATGATAATAAGGGTTTTAATGAAATTCTTTTAAATATTTGTTCGCATCCAAACCTACCCAAAGCCCAGTAACAAAGATCCCAGCTCTTTTTTTTTTTTTTTTTTCCCTTTTTTTTTTTTTTCATAGATTTGATTTGATCCTAGAACACCCTTCACACCCCCTACAAAAAGAATTCTCACTTTCACACTTTTTTTCCTCCAATGATCTTAATATATTTCTAGTAAATTTTTCGAACCAGCGAAAAAGTAAAAAGTACATAACCCACAATATGTAAAATTTAAATAACCAGATCCCATTACTCGGTTGGTGATCTTGCCAAGCTACTTGGTTTTATCAAACGTGATCTATCATAAGTATCTCGACTACTCACTTTTCTAGCATATGACATTCGTTTCAGCGCCAAGGGGCTGCCCCCTTCTGGCCCTTCGATACGGAGTTCTGATCCTTTCGGGTCGAAGCGGAGGTACGCCTCATGAAAACTGGCACCACTAGAGGACTGACCGCCGATGGTTCCTGGGCCTGTTTCGTCAGATCCGATAAAAGATCGGGCTTTGGGGATGTACTTTTGTTCCAAGTTAGCGTGTTCTGTTGTGGCAGAATGAATTGGAGAGTGACATCATTGTTATCTATATATTGCATGTAGTAAACGTCAAATTAATGAATAAAAAAAAAAAAAAAAAAATTTTTTTTTTTTTTATATCCAACAAATTTAAACTTGTCGGAAACAGTATAAATGTTTCTATACTCTATACATATCCCTTCGTAGTGTTGATTCACTACATTTGTATTAATATACATACCGACAAGGAATCTTTAATTGTCAAACGATGTCATGTTTGAAAATAATTAGCTTAGTAATTTCCAAAAAAAAAAAAAAGCTTTAAACGAGAAATTGTTAGACACTATTAATTGTGCTTACTTCGATAACTCTGCCCAACCACCTCCAACTCGAACCATTACCATACGACTTCTTAAAATACGGCAATAACATAATTTAGGTTCAACTTCTCCAAACATATATTTCCCGGGCTCTCCTTCGACCATAGATACTTTAATCTTTACGGGGCAAGCATTTACTATTCGTGCAACTTCCACGTCAAGTTGATCCTTAGGGTCTGGAATGTAATTATTGACTGAATGCGGTAAAAGACGGATTGGTGGACGTCTTGGCGATCCTGGTGTACCTGGCGTTGGACTTGGAGAAAGTCGTGTTGGTGTCTTTGATGTTGCTCGTGTTTGTGGTGACGAAAAAGGTCTGCGACTTCGTGATGGAGCTTCAGGAGACATAACTCGTCCGGCTCGTGATCTTAACGGTTTCTGGCCTGAAAGTAGACGGCTTAATTCATCCTTTTTGGCTAAAGCAACTTCATTTAATTCATGCCATTGTTCTGTTAGAATGCCCAGACGGTCAACAACTCTCCAATCATCTTTCAGTGGCTCTGCTGCTTCCCGTGCGTCTTCCAATTTCCGAACGATGATAGGATAATAATAATTATATTTGGTTTCCAGTTCAGTTAAACGGGACTGTAATTCGATGACGCCTAATAATGGGAGCGGTGTTTCATCCCTTGTTGTAGTGGCAACGTCCACTACTTCAAGTAATGAACTCATTAATGCATTCATTTCATCTGCTTTTGTTCCAAATTTCGCCAACTTTTCAGCTTCTCGAAGTTGAGCTCTTTTATTGTCAATCAAGCTTTGAAGGTTAGTCAATGCTTCTGCAATTCCCGCTCGCTGTTGAACATATCCTTTGTCATTTTCCGTTAAATTGTTTATCATATCATCTAATGCGTCAATCCTAGGTGTTAATATATGATCCACTTCTCCTTGAATTTCGTCGAGTTCTCTTACACCGTCAATAACATCGTCTTTTGTCGGTAATCTTGGAACTCCTTCACCAGTGATGAAAGATTCAACATTTAATACTCGCTCTTTGACTTGACTAATGGCCATTAATATCTCTTTAATACAACGTGATACTTCCTGACTTTCCTTTGATGCATTTAGGCTTGATCTTAATTTTGCAAGTTGATCTTGGAGACTATACCATTCCTCTAAAATCCTATTCGTTCTTGTCTGAACAGACTCTTTAATCTTAGGATTTGATTCCTCAGGTTGAGGCTCATCAATTTCTCTACTATCGGCTTCAGGTATTAGGACTCGGTGACTCATATCTTTGAACTGATCGACTGTGATTTGGAAATTAGCCACTTTTTCTTCTAAATCTATTATTTCTGCTTCTTGATCAATTATACCAACTTGAATATTTAACATTGCTAATTTACAAGATGACATCCAACTTTTTATATCATGGGCAGATTTGGCATGTGCGTAAACTCTACGCACAAGTTCGTGTTCACGACGTTCAAGTGCGACTGCATAAGAAAACTGTTCCAAGGCTGCTGTCACCTTGCTGTAAATGTTCAATATACGATCCTTATTGGCTTCAGGGTTTTGGCTAATAAGTTTATCAGCTTCTTGTTTCAAATCACCCTTAACCTTTTGGTCATATGTGCCCAATTTGTCTTCACTCTCTTCATGTCCATCCATCGCATTTCTAAGCACATTTGCAAGCGGTTCAACCTCTAGAGCATAGTAACCACTACGATCAAGGTCTTCGTGTCTTGATTTAACAATGGCAGTTCCTTCGTAACAGTCTTTAATGATTCTATCAGCATCAGCATGAAACGCTGCCAATTGTGAAGCATTATGGGCTGCAGTAAGAGCAGTTTTGAATGCATCTGATAATTGTAATAGTTTTTTACTTGCTTCATCGTGATGAAGATCAAAGTTTTGTCGGTTGGTTTCGTCGAGCTTATCGTCCGGTATAAATGGAACACGACCGGCTGCAGCTTTAGCATCGTCAAGTATTAACGTAGCTTTTTTAATATTTTCCTCCAATTCTTTACCTTCAGCCTCTAGATTTGAAAAATCTATACTAGGTAAAGCGTTTATACGTGATTCTAACCCTTCTAATATATCAGTTTCAACATGATATATAGCACCATGTCGATCGTGCCATTGGGCAACTTTTGCGGTAAAATCATTGAAATCACCTACTGATGCGGAAAGTTGGTCCCATGATGTATTAAGGAGTGTTTGACAATTTATTATCTCTTGTAATTCTCGAATGCCCTCCTGTGATGTGATGTTTTCATATTCTGCTCGAATGTTTTCAAGCTGTTCATTACGATTAGGAAATTGGTTTTGGAAGTTCTCAAAAACTGCAACTAAATCATGGAAATTTTTGGTATTTAATTCACTATCGTCTCCTATCATAATACCATAAGTAGGTTTAGCGTTCTCAAATGCAGAGATAGAGTCATCAATCCATTTTTGTAGATCATTAGCGCGATTCATGTAAGCTCCAGATATCTGTGCTGATTTATAAACTTCAACTTCTTCAATCTTGTTATCCTTTAATTGTTTTAACGATTCAATAGCATCGGTAACATTTTTTAATATCTCTTTAATCTTTTCAGATTCTTTATCACTCAGGATACCAGAATTCTCTTTTAAGTTTTCTTGAATTAATTCATGAAGCTTTATTAACTCGAAAAGATCTTCGTGTTCTAAAGAGGTTACCTTAGCCTGCCAATCTTTCATTTCATTGTTAGAAACAGATTCTACTCGGCTATTTGTTATAATATCAGATAATTCGTTAACTTTTGAAAGAATTTCTTTGGCTTTTTCTTTAAACTCTACAACTTGAAGCGCTTGTTCTAATATTTGCTTACACTTGGGGACATTATCTTGCAATTCGTCCCATAATGCATCAATTTCTTGTGCTCTAGAGCGTACAAGTTCAAGATCTGCTTTGACGTCTTCGACATCTTCATCACCACGTTGAATTTCATTTGTCATTTCTTTAATCAGATTATCTGCCAAGTTTTTAGCGAGATCAAACGCGCTGTTATATGCCTGACGTGCAGCTTCTACACCATCGACTTTGCCTATAAGTTCACGTAATCGATCTTCTGTTGATTCTCCCAAGGTATCGTCATTAAGAATACTATTCAAAATATCTGATTTAGGTTGTATCCAAGCTTCAACTTCTTTGGCCTTATTCATGTATGATTCGATCATCTTTTTGCGGCGTAAAACATTTTGATGTGTGAGAAGAAGGTCATTCAAACTATCTGCCAATGATTTTAAAGATTCATTTTGAGCAGTAACTGCTTCGTGAATAACCGAATTGCAATCTCCAGCTCTACCTATTCGGTCTTTATCATTTTGTACCGTACATTTTGGATAATTAATTTTCGAAGCATCATCATTACATAATTTTTGAACTCTCTCTGCAAAATCGTTAACAGCGTTAGAAATTGTATTTCCTTCTCCTCCAGGTGAGCTTGGTTCGTTAAGTAAAAGGATCTGTATTATACGTATTTAAGTAATTAATAAGATGTATATAATTTTATAATAAAATTTATAATAAAATAAATGTTACCTGTTGAATTTCTCGAGCATCCTTTTCCAACATAGCACTATTGTTCATGTATTCTGTGACATCTTTACGTTGCTCAATAACTTCTCGAGAATAATCATCAAGCGATTTCAGGTCATTTAGTAATTCATTTAGTTCTTTATGACGCTTCTCAATATGTTCTGGAACACTCTTTTCATCTGCATTCATGATATTTTGATATTCATCAAATTTAGTGTTTATAGGATCGAATGTTTTGTTTTCAAATTCTGCAATTTTATTATTGATTTTTTCCAATTCAGCCAATAAATTCTTGACAATTGAGTCAACATCTTTTTTGATGTTCGGATCTTTTTGTGTTTGCCATGATGCTTCTTCAAAGATGAAATGATCAAATTCATCTTCGATTCTTTTAGCATTTGAAATTGCGTCATCGAGTTCTCCAGAAAATTCCATAGTTTTTTGATACGATTTGAATTGGCTGTCTATTTCTTTGGATAACTTTTCAAGTTCTTCCATACGCTCATCTACCACCTATGATATTTAAAAAAAAAATAAATAAATAAATGAATCTATTATCAGAATCAATGTTTTTAATAAAAGGGTGAAATATACCTGTTTGATCGGTGCATTAACATCGTTGTCAGCTTGTTTGTCTTTTGGATAAAGTATTTTTGCAGCAAAGTCCTTTTTCAAATTATTTAAATATTCATTAAAAGCATCAATTTTTTCGTCAAAACCTGGATCAGGTTCACCATTTTCTTCGGTAGACTTTAACAAATCTTTTAATGCGAGACCTTCCTTTTCAACAACGTTAGATTGGTTGAGAAAAGCGTTAATAGCATCCCGTTGGTCCAATACTTGTTTAGACAAATCAATACGCCCAACAAGGTCATCATAGTTTTGGACGAATTCGAGTTGACGATTTGCAATATGTGTTGGTGGTTGTTTTGATAGGTATGATTTTATGGCTGATTTCATGTCATTATATGCAGATTTAGTTGATGCCAGTGGTTTTTCTTCAAATTCTGAAACCTTTTGCTTAATGTCTGTAAATTCTTGTTGTAAGTCGGATTCTGGTTCAGCAGTTTCAGGTGACCATCTTGCTTTGTTGGCGATAAAGTCATTAACTTGATTTTTTAAGTCATCAAGTAATGTAGAGTTAGGTCCATATAGATCTTCCCATTTGGCACGTTCTTTCAACACATTAAGATCCAATTGATGCGAAGATGTTAGGTTTTGCAGATCACTAAAGTTTTTATTAAGTTTATCCAATGCTTCGCGTAGTGGTTTTTGGTCAACGCTTTTGCAATTTGCTTTTTTGATATCCTCAAGTAATGTTTCGAGATTACGACGAGCTTGGCTAACTTCTTCGATATCGACTCGGGCATTTTCTTGTTTGAATTTTTCGTGTTCCTCATTCATCTTTTGAACTTGAGATTCATTAAACAAACAATCTTCGGCTAATGGATCAACTTTACGGTCATTAAGATCTTTTAATCGTTCAGCTATCCAATCTTGTAAGCGTGAAGAATCATTCAAGTATTCATTGGCACGTGCTTGAAGAGCCAGAGAAGATTGATAAGTCGCATATAATTTGTCTAATTCTTCACCCATAGACTCCAAA